AGGAGATTTACATGGTTGGCAGCAACACAACACCTTCACTTGTATCGTGAACACGTACAATCATAACACAGCAGCTGATGCCCTCTCTCGTTCTAACCAACAGGTTTTCTTCCAAGTCCATCCCACAGCTGAGCGAATCCCAAACAGGCCACTGCTATTCCAGGAACTCATCCTGGACTAGCAATACTCATGGCGCATGGGAGAATACTAGCACAAACTGCACTTTCAGCTAACACCAGGCGCTCATACAGTCGCTCATTCCTTACCCAAAACCTAATCAAAAACCCGTTGCCATTAGACACTATGGTGGCATTTACCACTTTTTGCCACCTAAATCTTATAGTCGCACACAATACAATAAAACAATGTCTAACTTAAGAGGCATTCTACAACTAGTAGGTCACAAACCCATGAAACGACAACCAATAGACAGTATAAAGTTCAGGGCATTATCCGACATATTGGGTAGGCAACCGTTCGAAACAGAAACAAATAATTCTATTAAAACTGCTATATTTCTGGCCTTCTATGGGTTATTTTTAAGGCCTAACAAATTCACAGTATATAAGGCAAACAATACTACCAACACGCTAAATTAGCTGACCTAAACAAAGTAGGGAACCACTTTGTTTTGACACTACGCCAATCTAAAACAAATCCAATGGGGCCGCCCGTCGACATCCAACTGTTCCCCACAGATAACAAATGATACCTAGTTCAATTACTCAACCATTTTCATCTAACCCTGAGAGGTCAGGACAAAAGTGCTCCCCTGCCAAGCTTACTGTAATGACATGAAGGGGTGCTGCCCTGGAACTGCACTGTCCCTTTAAATGTGGGAACCAATTCAGCAAAGAAATAAATGCCAAGACACAAATGAATAGGGTAAATCAAGAGATGTATGTATTACAGAGAACCAAAAGACAAAACAAAACAATATATATACAATACCACAAAATATATACAATAAATCAGGATAAGCACGAATAGTGCAGGCAACGTATACTGAAACAGTCCTTTGGTATAAGGGCAGGATTGTGCAGTTACCACGAGTAGTAGGTAGAGCACAGATCCTGAGTCACAAGACTAATATACTGACAACAGGAAGCAAGGTCAGAAGCAGAATAAATAAACAAGGCTGCAGGGTCAGGATCACTGGTAATAAGGCAGAGAACACGGAACCAGAACACAGGATCGGAGGGCACAGGAACAAAGGACCAGGAGGACACAGGAATGCAGGATCAGGAGGACACAGGACGAAGACCAGGAGAACACAGGAACGAAGACCAGGAGGCACAGGACACAGGACCAAGGAACAGTATGCAGGATCAAGGAGCCAGGAGTCAGAATCACAGGGAACCAGGAACTGGGGAAACAGGAGACAAGAGACAATGATCTCACCAGGAGTGAGGGGTGAAATCAAACTATATATGTGCTAAACAAGGACCAGGTGAAGTGCTTAACGAAAAGAAATTAGGAACAGTGCCAAACAAAGCTAGTGGTGAATGTGGGTACTGCACGAGGGCAAATCAACTAAGGAGTGTCGTGACACTTACACATTAACCCACTGACAATAATTCTTTGTATATGTAAAAACTCTATTTTCAAAAATACGTTGTGACACTTCAGCCTTCACGGGCCATTCATTTTGAATAGGGGCAGTAACAACAGCCTCTATTCAAAACGTACCAGGACACATAATCAAAGAATGGGACGAAGGGAATTGTCTGCATACAACTGTTACATACCCCAACAGGGAAAGAACTTTTAAACATTAAAAAAATTAGCCAAATAATGATGAACTCTTATATCTTCACGATCGTTATAAACGATTACATATGTATACATATGTATTAAAGTTGGCATTGTAAAAATGTTTTCCCTCTTTATTTACAGGCCTACCCGAACGTCGGTTTCGGCACACCACAACCGACTTTAGTAAATACAGTGGTTAACACTTTCTCGGCTTATTTCCCTGACCACAAATGGGAAGGCAGAGCCTGGAGTTGTGGGAGGGGTTGATCTGGCCTATATAAACCCAAACCTACTTCCATACCGGGCTGACGTCAATGGGTCACACACACACACACATATACATATAATACATGTGTATATGTGTTTGTGTATGTGTGTATGGGTATATTTAAATATACACACACACTTTTATTTCCTATATATGTATAATATATTATAATTAAAGTGTTTTATAATATATTATACATATATAATGCATATATAAATTATAAGTGTATTTTGAGATATATGTGTATTTATCTCAAAGTACACTTATAATGAAAGCATATTTATGCATTATATATGTATAATATATATACATTTTACTTTTTAGCAGCCTGGGGGACTGCCTGACAGTTTAGACAGTCCCCCTGCTGGCAGCTCCTAGAGTCCTATTGCGGCAATGTGATCATGGTGATCACATGGCCTTGGAGGGCCATGGTGGCCGGAGCTGCGGCAGGCGGACTTCTGGGGTCTCCTGCAGTCCCCCCTGACCTTGATCGCCGCGGATCGCCGCTCCAGGTAAGTCCAGGGCTCCTATTTGCCACGGACGTACTAGGTACGTCCGCGGTCCTTAATGACCTTTTTTTGTCGGAC